TTCAGGAACGAGGTCATTAGAATCAATCCTCCGGAATTAGCTCGATGCCCTTGACATCGGCTGCGAAATATAGCTCAAAAACATTGGGAAGCTGCAACGAAACTAGGCGGGATCGTCAGACGTGCGAGAATACAAAAAACAAAGGTTGTATAGAGGGTATTTTATACTTACGAAAGCACAAGAGTAGCAGCAATCATCTGTCTGTCTGGACGGAGCCATCCGTAGAGAAGTGCAACGACAGGAACACGTTTTGCCTTATGATGAGTAGCGTTAAATGTGGTTTCAGAAACGAGCTCATTAAAATCAATCCTCAGGAGTGAGCTCGATACCCTTGAAATCAGCTGCGATAGCTCAAAGACGTTGGGAAGCTGCAACCAAACTCGGCGGGATCGTCAGATGCGCGAGAACACAAAAAACGAAGGTTGTATAGAGGGTATGCTATACTTGCTTACAGCACGGGAGTAGCAGCGATCACTTGTCTGTCTGGAGCCATCAGCAAAGGAGTGCAAGGGCAGTAACACGTTCTGCGTTACGATTAGTAGGGTTCTAAGTAGTTTTATGAACGGGGTCATTGGCGTCCATCAGCAGGAGTTCGCTCGATATCCTTACCATCGGCTGTGATAGCTGAAAGACGTTGGATAGCCTGAACTCTGCGGGATTCTCAGACGCACGAAAACACAGAAAACGGAGGTTGTATAGAGGTTAGTTATAATTACGAACTGTAGAGGGGTATCAGCGATCATCCGTGTGTGTTTTTGCAATCATAAAAGGACTGCAAAAACGGAAAGCGTATAAAGAGGCCCAGTGGGGTTCTCGGCTGTTTTAGGAACGAGATCATTAGAGTATCAGCAGGAGTGAACTCTGTCGTTGTCATCGGCAGTGATAGCAGAAAGACGATGGAAAGCTGTAATGCAACTTGGCAGGATTGCCAAACACGCGAATACACAGAAAACTAAGTTTGTGTAGAGGATATGGCATGCTTACAAACAATAAAGCAGCATTAGCCGTGATCACCCGTGTGTCCTGGTGCAGTCAGCAGGGGAGTACAAAGGTTAAAACACGCTCCGCCGTAGCATGAGCAGCTTTCAAAGTGGCTCCAGAAACGAGGTCATCAGAATCAATCAGAAGGAGGGAGCTCATATACTTGACATCGGCCGCGATAGCAAAAAGATGTTGGGAAGCTGAAAATAAACTCGGCACGATTGTCAGACATGCAAAAACAGAAAACGAAGCTTGCATAGATGGTATGTTATACCACAGTCCCTTAATACCGTTCTGGTCACGAAACTTCTCCGTCACTCTATGGGAGAGCTTGATATGGTGCCAAGAGCGGCCGCTACGCGGCGCAAGCCGTCCTAGGGGGGCCATCGCCCCGCTGCGCCCGGCGGAACGCACTGGCCGCGGCGGCATCCCGAAGGCGTTGTGTGGTGGCAGCTCGCGGTTTCTGCATCAGCGAAACGCGAACTTCATGTGCCAGTGCACCGTGCTCAAGGTGGACGGCATGAAAATTCGGATGAACAATGCCTAAGACGTGCTGTGTGACGGGTTGCAGCTCCGGATACCGAAGCAACAAAGAAAAGGCGTCGCTCTTCTGTTTCCAAAGTAGCACCGAACTCCGAGAGAAATGGAAGCGAGCTATACCGCGGTTGGAAGCTGGTGGTTTCAGCTTCGAAAGTAAGAACGTTCGGGTGTGCGAAAAGCATTTTGATGCTAGCGACGTTGTGAGAACTGACGAGCACATCGTGAACGGGGTGGTCGTGTCGTTTCAGCGAGTGCAACTCGCTGAAGCGACATTAACAGCTGCACTCTGCTGAGGCAGAGTGCAGCTGTTAATGAAACGAAATACACATTGTACAGTAGAGTCACAGATTGTGTAACATTGCTCAGAACAGCTGCAATAGTTTCTAGTGCTTTTCTTCTCCAAAGTGTTGTTCTCAGTGTATTTTGTGTAAATAAATGTTTTCCAACTTTCTCCCCATTACATGCACCATATGTGAATCTCCCAATTATAAATACACACCTGACTACTAGGCGGCGTATCATTAGCATCAAGTTTAAGATTTATTGCATGTCTTAAATCATAACCGCCCTTCCCCCCTCCAGCCCAAAAAATAAAAACAAATGTGTGATGAGGTACCTCGGTGGTGGCAGAGGCGGCCAAGCGGCTAGCACTGGCATCAAAAGGAACTTCCAGATTAGGCTGCTGTACTTCCGTTCCCGGAGAAATCATGGGTTGTCGGCCGGTAAATAATAATGCCCTAAACAGTAAACACAAGGAAACGTCAAGCGGCGGGTGTCCCGTGTAAACTGCGTGGAAAGAAATGATCAATCAAATGCTGGGCACGTTTAGAGCGGTCGCGAAAGCCCTCGGCATCGAAAGTCCCCGCGTCAAAAAAGCGATCGGCGCTCACAAACGTGTGTCCAAAACAACTGCGCATTTGGGTATAAACTCAATTGAAAGGTCTGGAATAAAACTTCTGGCTCAACCATTCAGTTCATTTGAATACTTGGGTAGTAGCGCGCGAGAAGCGAGCCGGATATAAACCAATGTGATTGATCCTGTACTACCCAGTCGTGTTTCATTTCGTTCACCTTCCTCCCCCTATTAGCGGCCCTACTAGAATATAAAGCTCACCTACCACATAAACATAATCGCCCTTTGGCTGGGCGCAAATACAAACATGTTGTCGAGCAGATCAAGCAGTAGCTGCTCGCATCAAGAGCATGGAGCATAAGCATTGTCTTTCAACACTTGCGAGCTATAGCTCGCAAGTACCGCTTCGAGGCATCGTAAGTATGCATATAATTGGGCTATGAGACAATACTTGACACAATGCGTTATTGCGCGGTGTGAGAACACTTTTAATGCGCTGCTGTTTATAAGGTGGGCCCGCACTTCCAAGTAAACTACGCGTGCGTTCCAGAGTAAACAGCTCTCATTCGTCGTCGACACTGGATCCCGTTTCAACTTATTTATCTGGTGGCATTGATGCGTTCAGAGACGTTTAAAAAAAGGTAACAGGAAGAACAGCACGCACATAATCGCGTCGAAACGTCGGCCGCAGTGCGCATACAAGCCCAGCAGTGGCGGCGGCTTGTGGCCCCCATACGACGGGTGGCGCCTCTAGCGACAGATTTTGTCCCTATATCAACCTTCGGGCGGAGTTTCGTGACCAGAAAAGCATTGAAGGACTCTGGTTATACTTACGAATAGTACAGCAGTAGCAGCTATCATCCGTGTGTCTTCTTGGTTCAATCGGCAGGGGAGTGTAAAGGCCGGAACACGTAATGCCATATAACGTGTAAGATATCAGGTGGTTTTACGAACGAGCTCTTTAGAGTCGATCAGCAGGAGTGAGCTCTATATACTTGACACGAGCCGCGATAGCAGAAAGGCATAGGGAAGCTGCAGCGAAACGGAGGAATTGTCAGACACGCGAAGACACAGAACTAAATTTGGGCAGAGCCAAATTTGTACTTATATTTTGTACTTACTAACAGCAGAACAGCAACAGAAGCGATAGTTCGTGTGCCTGTTTGGTGCAATTAAGAGAGGAGTGGAAAGGCCTGCAGAAACACGATCTGCCGTAGGACAAGTGGGGTTCAAGGTGGATTCAGGAACGAGGTCATTAGTGTCGACCAGTTGAAACCCCCTTGGCATCCTTGTCATGGGTTCTCATGTGTAGCGAGATGTTCCGAAGCTGCAACGAAACGTGGTTGAATTGTTAAACACATAAAAATACATCAGCACTAAATATGCATTATGCGTGACCTACTAACACGGCAGGAGTGTCATCGATCGCTTGTGTTCGAGTCATTTGGCGAGTTGGGCTCAAGGTGGTCAAGGAACTAGAGATGGCTTGGTGGAAAGATTCAACAGGGTCTTGAAATCGTATATACAACTAGCTCTCCTACAGCAGCGACCAATCAAGACCACAGTTATAGAGTACCTGGGTATTTACCGAGCCACACCCCACAGCGCCACTGGCATCTCTCCAGCAGTGTTGCTTCATGGCCGCCACATGAGGACATCATTAGATGTTGTTGGCCAGCCATCAGCGGATTTCGGCACCCATCCCGCACGTGAACTGCGTAGACTTCGGCGTCGTGTCTGCGAATACCAACAAAGAAATAAGGCGTATGCAGAGAAGCGAAGAGCAGCCCGGAGCCCAAATTTAAAGTGGGGGCCTACGTGCGGGTGAAACGCCCGGTACCTGGAATAAAAAGCACCCCTAGTTTTGGGGCTCCACTCAAAATACTGAGGCGGGTCGGACGATGGTCATTCCACTTGGAGGTCGGCCGTACCTGGAATGCCTCCCAACTGTCGGCTGTACCCCATGAAGCTGTTCACGAAGAAACGGGGGCAAGACAAGAACCGCTGTGGGCGGACATGGAGACAGACGAGTCGGCAGGAAACGCCACAGCACGAAAACCATCCTCGAAGGCAAAGAGCCACGCGACCCGAAATATCCCAATACAGGAAGCTGCACAGTCTTCGGGGGGGGGGGGGGGGGGGGGGGGGTCAGCACTGCCTCCTCATACGCCAAGTCCACCACGGCCTCCACCAACGGGGAACACGACCGCAGGACTGGGTGCTGATCGTGCCGACGAACCAGAGGTCGTCCATCAGCCAGAAGAGCAGCCGGTGCCCCTCCGTCGCTCTACACGGGAGTGAAGACCACCAGAGAGACTCGGGGACTATGTGCAGTGACTTGTTTACAGTGGAGACTTACTATAGTTTTCTGTCACGGGTAGTGACTGTTTCTTTTCTATGCACATAATCTGTATTCTGTTATCAAGGGAGGGGGTAGATGTAGCGTGTGTTTACACCAGATGGCCTTCTGAGTCATTGGATTCACAATAGATGGCGCCACTGCGCTCGTGTGTATATAAACGATACTCGCTGATTAAACTGGGTTATTGTCATGGATCGTACTGTGGTGTAGCGTGGTTACTTTCACGTGTCGCCGTGCCGGCTACACGACATTCTGGCGACGAGGATGGCTTCCACGGGCCTTTTGCCACCTCCTCTTTTTCTGGCCACCCCCGGCACGCCCGATGTGCCATGGGCCCGATGGTTACGACTGTTCGAAAGGTTTCTGCTGGCGTCCGGAGCGAACGAGCTACCCGCACCCCGTCGCCGAGCCCTCCTGCTGCACTGTCTTGGGACGGAAGGACAGCGCATTTTCGACGCGCTTCCACCTAGTACGACGCAAACCAAGGCAGAGACAACGAGTGCTGCACCCGGTGTCACGGCCACGCCAGATGCCGCCGCTGGAATCATCGGAACCACAGCACCTACTGGAACGCAAGGCATGACCACGGAAGCCCTACGCCCACCCGACGAGTACGAAGTAGCCGTTGAGATGCTTTCGAAGCATTTCGCCGCTCCTTGCAAGGTCCGCCTTCAACGCCATCGATTCCGGGAGCGTCGTCAACTGCAGGGTAAGCCCATCACTGATTTCGCCGTAGCGCTTCGGGAGTTAGCAGCTCTTTGCAATTTCGCCACTCAAGCGGACGAAAACCTGTGTGAACAGTTCGTAGCAGGCGTCACGAGCCCGCGGCTACGAGAGCGATTGCTGCTGGAGGGCGATAACCTTACGTTCGATCATGCTGTCGAGGTAGCACGGCTCCGTGAGCAAACCCAGCGTGAATCCGAAGCCTTCGCCAATCCTGTCCAGCGCATTCAGCAGCAGTTGCGAGACAGCTCAGCCAGGCACGATCGACGAGATAACGGCGATAATGGCACACGCCTCCCGGGCCGTCGCCACTTCAGCTGCTCACGCGGGTGCAGCGCACCTTCACCTGATATGAATGCCGCCGCCGCTGCTGTCCCCGGGCCTAGAAATGTAAATGCCTGCGGAAACTGCGGCGCAGCACGGTGTTCGCCTACGGAATATCCCGCGCGCGGTCGCACATGTTTTGCCGGCGGACGCCGCGGCCATTTTAAGAGAGCATGTCGCAGCTACCGTCACGGCCGAGAAGGGTATTCTGCAGAGGTCCAGGAAATCGTTCCGGAAGAGGATGCTACCAGTGTCATTAGCATCTTGGCGGTCCGTACTGATAAGAGCACAGGCGTCTACGAGGATGTCAATGTCGCGTCAGTTACCGCGACGACACGGGTGCATACCATGAACTTTTTGGTGGACACAGGTTCGGCCTTGTCTATTATGGGTGAGCACCAATTCCAAGACTTGTTCGCAAACGCAGTACAACTGACAAGTTCCCATCTTACATTGCTGGATTTTTCGCGCAGGAAGATTCCCGTTCTCGGGTCATTTCGCGCCATAGTCACATACAAGGGGAAAGAAGCCATTGTAACTTTTCATGTTACGCCATGTGGTACATCTCTCCTTGGCCTGGATGCTGTTCAAGCCCTTGGCCTTCGCATCATGGGAGAGGAATTGCGCTGCCTGCAAATGTCCACGCAGGAATGCCGAGAGCTTTCAGCAATGAGTTCAGGCCTTCCCAAAGCCCCAGGCATGAAAAACCCCTTGGCCCTCCCAAGTTTGGAATGCCGCCAACACTGTGGACCAAGTTTGGCCACTTGTTTTTGCCTGGCCTGGGACTTGTAAGAGGTGTGCAACACAAAGTTAAGATGAAAACTTCCATCGCGCTAGTCGCACAGAAGCTGAGACCCCTACCATTTTCAGACCGCCAGCTGGTCTTTGACGAGATTGAGAAGCTACTTGCTGCTGATGTCATTGAGAGAGTCAATGCTTCCGAGTGGATATCTCCTACTGCAGCAGCCCACAAAGCAGATGGTAGCATTCGACTGTGTGTCGATCTCCGGGAACCCAACAAAGCTATAGTAGCAGACAACTTCCCTTTGCCTCATATGGAGGAGCTGCTTCATGCCCTCAATGGAGCCCGCTGCTTTTCCAAGGTGGACCTGGCATCGGCCTACTACCAGGTTGTGCTGCACCCAGACAGCAGGGACCTAACTTCATTTATAACCCACGATGGCCTCTTTAGATTCAAGAGGGTCTGCTTCGGGTTGGCATCAGCACCAGCTGCGTTTCAACAGATCATGACGAAAATTCTTGGAGGTTGCAAAGGGGTCTTATGCTACTTGGATGACATAATCATTTTTGGCAAGATGGAGAGCGAACACAAGCAAAACCTGGAGCAAGTGCTGGAACGAATAGCAGAAGCTGGGCTCAAGCTCAACGAAAAATGCGTCTTCAACACGTCGGAGCTGTCGTTCTTAGGACATCGCGTCAGCGCAGAGGGTATAGCACCGCTCCAGACCAAGATTGATGCAATCATCAATGCTCCTGCGCCTAGAGATGCAGCCACGCTACGCTCCTTTTTGGGGCTAGTTGAATACTATTCCAAATTCGTGCCGTGACTGGCAGAGCAAGTAGAGCCAATGCGTCGTCTACTTCGCAAAGACGTGCACTTCGACTGGGATGACACTGCGAAAGAGAGCTTCGCGGGAGTAAAAAGACTTCTAGCATCCCACAAGGTCCTCCGAATGTTTGACCCAACGCTACCTGTCATTGTCGCAACAGATGCCTCTGCGTACGGTTTCGGTGCCGTACTGCAGCAAGTGGAGGGGTCCCATGTGCGTACTGTGGCATTTGCATCGCGGAGATTAACAGAGACAGAACGAAAATACTCGGCCGGAGAGCGTGAGGCCCTTGCCTGTCTGTGGGCCTGCGAGAAGTGGCACGTTTACCGCTGGGGCAGATCATTTACTCTACTGACGGATCACCAGGCTTTGGTGGCACTGCTCTCATCCCGTAGCACAGGACAGCGGCCACTTCGTATTTCAAGGTGGACCGCACGACTGCTGCGCTACAACTTCAAAATACAGTACCGCAGCGGAGCCCACAACCAGGTAGCAGATGCCTTGTCCAGACTGCCCGTGCCAGACACAGAAGGGGGCTTTTATGTTGATGAAGAGGTTGTGTCCTTGGTTACATCGTCTGTACATCGGGAGAATCTTCAGGTTGCTACCGCGGAGGATGACATACTACGGCAGGTAATGCAACTTATCCAGTCATCATGGCCAACAAGGAAAATACTTGCCGCAGAACTGACTCCGTACTACGAAATACGAGAGGAGCTCTCGGTAGTAGATGGGTTGCTTCTGCGCACAGAACGTGTTGTAGTGCCTGCCAAGCTAAGGAATACATTCATCCAGTTAGCTCATGAGTCACACCCGGGTATTGTGAAGACTAAGCAGCGCATCAGGGAGAAGTACTGGTGGCCTTGCCTTGACAAGCATGTAAAGGCCGCCGTCCGGAGTTGCAGCACCTGTCAAGCCTCGGACAAGAGTGTCAAGAACTGGCAAGACCCACTACAGCCGGTCCCGCTTCCCGACAGGCCTTGGCACAAAATATCAAGACATCATGAACCCCTTTGAACGTGCACCGGCCGACTGTCGATTTGTCATCGTGGCAGTGGACTACTTCTCCAGATGGCCAGAGATTGCGTTCTGCAGTGACATCACTTCTCGCACGGTGATCAACTTTCTGCTTGCTGTCTTTGCGCGAGAGGGTTACCCGACTGAACTAGTCTCAGATCACGGCCGACCGTTTACGTCGAGTGAATTCGAGTGCTTCCTTGCAGACAGGGGCATCAAGCATTTCTTCTCGGCAGTTTACCACCCTCAAGCCAATGGCTTAGTGGAAAGATTTAACAGGGTCTTGAAATCGTATATACAACTAGCTCTCCTGGAGCAGCGACCAATCAAGACCACAGTTATAGAGTACCTGGGTATTTACCGAGCCACACCCCACAGCGCCACTGGCATCTCTCCAGCAGTGTTGCTTCATGGCCGCCACATGAGGACATCATTAGATGTTGTTGGCCAGCCATCAGCGGATTTCGGCACCCATCCCGCACGTGAACTGCGTAGACTTCGGCGTCGTGTCTGCGAATACCAACAAAGAAATAAGGCGTATGCAGACAAGCGAAGAGCAGCCCGGGAGCCCAAATTTAAAGTGGGGGCCTACGTGCGGGTGAGACGCCCGGTACCTGGAATAAAAGGCACCCCTAGTTTTGGGGCTCGACTCAAAATACTGAGGCGGGTCGGACGATGGTCATTCCACTTGGAGGACGGCCGTACCTGGAATGCCTCCCAACTGTCGGCTGTACCCCATGAAGCTGTTCACGAAGAAACGGGGGCAAGACAAGAACCGCTGTGGGCGGACATGGAGACAGACGGGTCGGCAGGAAACGCCACAGCACGAAAGCCGTCCTCGAAGGCAAAGAGCCACACGACCCAAAATATCCCATACAGGAAGCTGCACAGTCTCCGGGGGGGGGGGGGGGTCAGCACTGCCTCCTCATACGCCAAGCCCACCACGGCCTCCACCAACGGGGAACACGACCGCAGGACTGGGTGCTGATCGTGCCGACGAACCAGAGGTCGTCCATCAGTCAGAAGAGCAGCCGGTGCCCCTCCGTCGCTCTACACGGGAGCGAAGACCACCAGAGAGACTCGGGGACTATGTGCAGTGACTTGTTTACAGTGGAGACTTACTATAGTTTTCTGTCACGGGTAGTGACTGTTTCTTTTCTATGCACATAATCTGTGTTCTATTATCAAGGGAGGGGGTAGATGTAGTGTTGTGCGTTTACACCAGATGACCTTCTGAGTCATTGGACTCACAATAGATGGCGCCATTGCGCTCGTGTGTATATAAACGATACTCGCTGATTAAACTGGGTTATTGTCATGGATCGTACTGTGGTGTAGCGTGGTTACTTTCACGTGTCGCCGTGCCGGCTACACGACAGTCATTACAGTAATTCAGCAGGAGATCGATATCCTTTTCATAGGGCCACAGCGGGGGAGACGTTGGAGAGCTGAAACGAAACAGGGAGGAACCGCTTAACATTGTAAAATACAGCTACGCTAAGAGTTTTGTATGCGTGATATTTACCAAAACTAGCTCAAATAGTTTTTGAAGTCGTATACTCTTACCGTGATTGAGTGTAGAAGAGCTTGCGACACAGCCAGAGGAGTTACGTTGAACGACGGAAGCTACCGGTGGACTCTGGAAGCGAGGCCTTCAATGCATAGCTCGTAGAAAAGCTGCACGTCTGCAGGACTCGATGAATGCTTGTGAATTTGCACGAAGGCCGCTTTGTAGATACTGAAGAAAAAAATAGAACAAACGCCTCTACTCATCACGTCAAGGCAAGCTTGTGTGTCGCTTCATTCATGGACGCGAATATCGAGGGTAAGTGGATAGGCAAGCCCGGAAGTGAACTTCACAACATACTGGGCATGACTTTGAATGGCAAGGTATGCAAGAAACCTACTACAAGCAAGGACAGCAATAACATTTGCAATCAACTTGCACTGCATCTAAGGCAGGTGAGGCAGTTTGCTTCAGCCAAAGTTCTCGCTCGATAGTACAACACCTTTCGGAACGAGTATATGTCCCAGATATATTCGAAAAAGTACAAATGCCAGCTGTCGTCCGGCCTATTTCGTAAGAAAAGAAGACTGCTATTGGCTACCCTGCGTAGTATGAGCTAACTTGCCTAACTGCGGTGTAAGCCTAAAGTTATATGGGCCGCCAAACCATCTACGTGGTCCGTCCTGTCCCAATTACATCACGGCAAACTCCCGTCACGGCTGCAGCAGGCCCACAAAAATTCTGGCTTAATTTTACGATGCAACTAACTTCATGTTGGTGCTTTAAGCTTTACCATACGCCTATTCAAAGCCAATTCAGTAAACTTTATTCACAGGTAGATTCTCTGAGCTGCCTGTCACCCTCGCCAGCTTGGAGAATCTCTATCTTACTTGTTACCGATGACGGAGCACTCCGTGAAAAAGAGGTTCTCCCGCAGGTCCTCTGAGAATAGTCTAAAATGAATCAAAGTTCGTTTCTCAGGTAACGCTGACGGTCGGCGAACAGCTACAACGAAAAAGGAGTCCACGGCAGACATGACTTGCTACTTGTAAGCATACACTTCTCTAGCCTAACTGTAGAGCCATTGGCGTAAGACCGACGAAAACGTCCCAAGGCTTCAAATATTTACGCGCCAAGCATCACATGAGCTGTCATAGCAGGCGGGAAGAGTCATGGGGAAGAAACTTGAGGGCAGAAATAAATGTCCGTGACGGGGCGGTAACCATCTCTTGCACGTGTCGACCAGAGGGCTGTCTCCGAGAACAATCGAAACAGATTGGCTACTGCGGTACTGCACTTGTCGGCAGGCATGATTGGAACAGACATTCGTCACATATTCGAAGTTCATAGGTTGAAGCCAGCTCTTTAAAAGACCGTGTAGAAGGCGCACGGGAAATACGCCTAGCGTACAATGTAGTCAAGCACAGCCGCTCTCGCTGCACAAGTGGGACAGCAGTCACGCCGAGCACAGCAGACGCAACGCCCACCAACGTCGAGTGGCCCCGCCGCGGTGGTCTAGTGGCTAAGGTACTCGGCTGCTGACCCGCAGGGCGCGGGTTCGAATCCCGGCTGCGGCGGCTGCATTTCCGATGGAGGCGGAAATGTTGTAGGCCCGTGTGCTCAGATTTGGGTGCACGTTAAAGAACCCCAGGTGGTCTAAACTTCCGGAGCCCTCCACTACGGCGTCTCCCATAATCATATAGTGGTTTTGGGACGTTAAACCCCACATATCAATCAATCAATCAATCAACGTCAAGTGAAAAACGTGGAATGGCGGGTACTCCGTGCTCCTCGATTACCATGGCCGAGAAGCACGTGTCAAGGTGCTTGGCGCATGCATCGATGCGAACGGCCAATTTTGCTATTTCGTGCATTGGTCAGTTTTGCAACACGTCACAGCCTCTCACAGTGCCGCGACGCCGTTCTTATCACCGCGCTCAACACTATACTCGTGATGCGTCAGATAAAAGATAAAAAGAAAAAAGCGCATGAACACCCCGTTGCCTAGCTTGGAACGTTCTAGAAGGATTCTCTTGAGTTTTCGACAGCAACTTCGTAGTTAGCGCCTTTCGCCTTCGTTTTATCGCTTTAAAAAGTGCGCTCGCGAGAACGTCGCAATGTAGCAAACATGTACAGCTTGCATATATAGATGTTATCAACAAATCATTTCCGGCGCCGCACACACCAAGACCGAGCCAACCGGGCTGTGATCATAAGCATGCCGTAACAAAAGGCTCCTGATATGTCGATCACCGAGGGGGGGGGGGAGGGGGTCTTTAACGCACAATCACATGACACAGTGCACGGTTCTTTACAACTTCTCGCCTCCATCAAAATGCGACCACCGCGGCAGGAACTGAACCAGCGACTTCTGTTCAGCAGCCGAGCCCCGTAATCGATGTCACCACAGAGGCGACATGAACGCTATCTTCTCGGTACTAGCTCTCGATGTCTCGTTCGAATATTCTGTACT